CTCAATCCTGTTTCGTTTTAAATATCCTCTGAAATAATAGAGGAATTTTAATTAAATTTGTTGTACGTCATATTGGGTCAGGTCACTGTAATGTCAAGGTACTTGTGCAACCAATGGAAGAGACACCGCCATTAATAACATGTATACCATCGAATATTTATAGTTCAACATCTTGAGTACCTCAGGGCTCTAATACGGAAACTTTACTGTTTCTTGTTTACATCAATGATTTATTAAATGCTGGTAATTTATTACAAAATAAACTTAATGTAACTTCCAACTAAATGTATAGTAATGTAAGTATAGAAAACGCAATTCGTTAATATTTAACTATTCTCTCATTAATACCACAGACAATATATATAGATTATCGCTTCAGACTGCGTGTTAAATACTGGAAATTGGCAACTCGAAATGGATGCAGGGTTTTGTTAGCCGGCATCCAGCAATAAAATTTAGCGTGGTAACTCTTCTACTTGGTAATAGGCGGCAGTTCTAGCGGTGGTTTTGTTGCCAAATAAAAACTGCCAAATAAATTTAATGCATTCAATTATGTAATTAAAGAGATATGGAACTTGTCTTTTGTTTGGAAATCACATTTGTTTTAAATAAAAGATAATTAAACTGTATTATTCAAATAACAACAATGTGCAAAAGTTCTTCAGGAATATCGGCAAATTTATTTTTGAAGACGAATCCCGTCAATGAACACTGTAAAAAATATTATTAGAAACCTTAGGTGCCCAGAACACAGCCCCGATCTCAGTCCTTAAGACATATTTTTATGGGGACACTTCAACAAAATATATTATTAAAGACCTCAAAATTTACAAGTATTAAAAGAAGAAATACAAGACGAAATGTTTCTGTAATTCCGAATTTGTTTTTAAAGCAATAAATAGTAAATCAAAGCATATTTTCAACTGTACCATCACAATTACTTACATTTTGAAAATTTGTAACAATTGTAGGTATTTTAATGTTATTTCGTTTTTAGGTATTCTCCTTATGTTGTTGTAAAAGTTAGTTATAAAAATCGTTGTTTGTTATTTCAATAAGAATGAATTTTAATTTTTTTAATGTTTTTTTTTTTACTTTAAACAAACATATATTTTTGATGTCAAAAGAAATAAAGGAAAAGTCGTACATTTGTATTTAAAAATTTTTTTCCACCTTTAATTATTATTAACCTATAAGTGGATGTCAAAATACAAAAAAAAACGGTACCTACATTCCGCGACGTACTAATAACTCACTTTGTATATTAAATAAATTTATCATGATCATCAAATATTAAAAAATATATATATTACAAGTTGTTTAATATATCATTACGAATTTTGTTTATTCGGAAATATATTTTCTGCAGTATTTCAATATCAAAAAAATAAAAATAGTAGCTAATTAAAGAAATTATGATTAAATAATCTAACTATGACACCATTGCAGAATATCATATGACACTACATAGATACTCGTTGATTCTATGAAACATTTTTATCAATACCTACATCATACCTTTAAGTAAATACAGTAACGCAAAATACAGATATTGATAAAAAAGTGTACAAAATAAATCAGTAAGTACGCCTGGCAGCATTGCCAAAGAGTTGATTTTATGTTGCTAGGATATGCGTAGGAATGAATTTGATTCTTCCTAAAATTCTGCTGTTGGTGTACTCTATCGACAATGCGGAAATTTAAAACTGCTGTCCTATTCCAGTAGCGGTCTGGGGCGATAGCTATTTTGTCTGTGTTAATAGTATTTTGGAAAGATTTGTTAAGTTTAAGAATCTGGAGTGGAGTCATATTTCAGAAACGGTTTATTCTTCTAGCTGATTGCTTGGTTACATAACATTCATTAAGAATAGAATTGAGTATGCCTACAGTAGTTAGTCTGTTCAACGCAGATGTCTAAAATATATATATTCTTACAATGGTTATTATCCCCCTAGGGGTTTTGATCAT